AACAAGCCTGGAGTTTTGCAAGGTCTAATAGAATTAATTGGCAATAAAGATATATATCCAAAACCATCTTTTGCAATGAATGAGGTGAGACTTTTCTGTGATAATTTAGAAAGTTTTGGTAAGCCCATTGCATCAACATTAGCAAAAGAAATGCAACCACGTAAGATGACAAAATTTTGAGATTTCATTTTAATATGTATTTGAACAAATTAATGTATGTTTGTTAATTTATAGATGAATGGTGGAAGATGTTCGGCTCTAGTGCACCAAACTTATAAAAAATGGCTATTATAATTCTTAGTCAGGCATCATCTTCATCAGGTTGTGAGAGGAACTGGAGTGTGTTTGAGCAGATTCATACAAAAAGACGGAATCATCTTGAGCACCAAAGGCTAAATGATATTGTCTACGTTCGTTACAATCTCAATTTAAGAAATAGGTACTGTTTGAAACTTCTTTAATTATTTTTTTAAATAATGATGCACATTTTATTATTAATTTTTTATAACAATTATGTAGGTTGCAGCTTAGAAAAAGAAGTTATGATCCTTTGGACTATACAAGTATTGAACTTGTTGATTTATGGATCCTTGATGATGAACCAACTCCAGAATTGCATTTAGAAGACTTGGAGTTAGAAATTTACAAAGATGATGCAATTCCTATAAATATAGAACCAAACTTAACATCATCTACACCAACCCCAAGTAAGATTGTTGATTAACTTATATCTTTTGAGTATAATATTAAATATAGACTTATTATTTCATATTAATAATTTGCAGATGAAAACAACTTATCTAATATATGTGATGAAGATGACATACCTTGTGAGGATGCAGAAGCATTTGGGATGCAAGATTTTGGTGAAGAAGAGTTTGAGAATCCATCATTCGATCACACAAATTTAGTGGATGATTATTAAATTCACTATGAGTTATGAGTGTTTTGAGTTTTGAGTTTTTTATATGTAAACTAATATAAGCAATTTAATGTCAATTATTACTTTTTTGTCTCTATGGTATTAACTATTAAGTTAAAACTTTTTTATATTTATGAAGTACTTGTGACTAACTTGGTGTGACAGATTGAGAGTTGGAAATTTTTCAATGATCAGTTGCCGATTACCATGAAGATTGTGATTTCTATTTTGTATATTTTTTTTGTTTCTTTTACTTGTCATGGTTGATTTTTTTTTTTCAAGAAAGTAATTACATCATAGATTCTAAGCTAAATTTTTCATTGAAGTACTTGTGACTAACTTGGCGTGCTTAGTTCATTGTTTGACGTATTTTATCCTAAAAGAAGTATTTATGTTGTCCAAAAATTAGTGGTGATGGTAAAGGTCTTTGAAAGTAAAATCAAAATTATATTTGTAGTGGTGGCAGCCCATTCTTATATTGCTTTGATGTTTGTTATGCATGCTTAATTTTGTTTTGCAGAAGATGATTTTGCAGTATTAGGGGAGGAGCTCCATGTTCTGGCATGTTTGTGAAAGGTACTGTGATCTCCTCATCTCTTTCTTCGGCATCATCTTCCTTCTTGGAATATAGTCTTCTTGGGTTTTGGATGCCATACAATGTGCTAGATGCTGCAGTTTGCTATTTGCTTTTCTTTGTTATTGATGTGTTAGAATTTTTGCATTTTTTACAATCTTAGATCAATTATAGCAATACTTCATCCTTGTCATGCCTAGGTTGTGCATAGTTCCTCTTAAAATGTTTATCTTGATTAGGTGGAGCAAGGTTAGGTTTAGACTTTAGAGTGAATGTATTAGAAGAAAATTTCTCCTTTTTTTTATTTTTAATAATATTATTATTTATTGCATCATCCGGTTCGACCCCGGTTGAACCGGTC